AGAGTAGAAAACCAGAGATTGTTATGTCGTTGTTTATTCAAAATTCTAATAGTTAGTTTTTATTTAGTAATGAGTATTTTTAAGAAGGATCTTAAAGTGAAATGTCTTAATATCATGATAAGACTAAAATAAACTCTGGAACCTTGTATATCTGCCTAAATCTGAAAACAGTCTGATCACAGTACATTGTATGAGAGATGAAATTATCCACAGAAAAAAAGAAGACTATTGATGAATTAAAAAAAGTGATGTTTTAGCCAAGATAATACAATCATACAGTTTTGGAAAATGATATCATTCTTCGCTAAAACGTCTTAATTCTTATCCACAGAAGTAAATATTGATTCTTGTTAGTTAGTTTTCTTTTGTTTTACAAAAATAGGCTTCTGATCTTGAATAAAAACATACAGACAAATTAGACTTCATAGATATAACCAAAGTTCTGAGTACATAATTACAATATTTATGATACTTTCATATTAAAAGACTAGTATTTGAATAGACAATATTCTTTTCGATAAATTCCTTTCAGGTTCTACAATTATCTATCCAAATTAATAATCCGAAAAATGACCAGGTTAAGGGCAATTACATCGTTAAAAGCATGTGAATTTAGGATTGTGATAAACAAAATACAATAAAACTGTTCATGTTAATATGATTCATATATAATGTTAACTTGAATCAGCTTATATGTTAAGTAAAAATTTTTAAGATCCATGATCAGAATAAATATGGGTCAAATAGGGTGAGAGAGAAATAATAGTGCAATTACAATTCATTGGTGGGTTGACGTCTATGGGAAGATCTGTGTGTGCTGCTTCGATGTCCGGTGGATTCATTGGAGCCGGCCTATTCAGGAGTTCCTCGAAGTATTCTACCCATATGTTCCGCTGTTGTTGAATTTCAGTGATTGGCTTGCCTTCTTTGTCTTTGACCGGTCTCTCTGATTTACTGTATTTCCCTGCTAGTTTCTTCGTTGTATCGTAAAGCTGTTTCATATTTCCTTCTCTAGCAGCTTTTTCTGCCGTCGTTGCTAGTTCTTCCACGTATTTCTGCTTGTCGGTTTTAATGCTCCTCTTCACTTGCTTGTTTCCTTCAGTGTACTCAACTTGTACCTTGACTTCCCCTGCTCGTGTTCGGCTGTTGTTAATTGCTGCCTTCTTGTTCTTCCTTAATTTGATCTTGTCCAGAGTTTCTATAGAGATCCACTCCTTATGATGGTGTTTCTTTAGGCCCAGAACCACTTGACACGTTGAAGTTAATGCTTCTTTGATGCCTTTCCAGTTGTCTTCCATAGTAGTTTCTTCTTCCTTCAGTTGAACTTGTAAGGCTTGGAACCTATTGTTGAGAGCTATCTTGAACTCATTGAGTCTGTCAGTATCTCGAAGGAAGGCTGTATTGAACCTTTGTAATGCTGCTTGTCCAGTTCTTCTTTAGCCTCAGTTTTAAATTGGCCACAACTAGGTGGTGATCTGAAGCTACGTCAGCTCCTCTCCTGGTTCTCACACCTTCCATTGTCCCTCGGATTTTTTTATTGATGCAAATATGATCTATCTGGTTTTCTGTGGTGTGGTCCGGTGAGATCCATGTAGCTTTATGTATACGCTTGTGTGGAAATATTGTGCCTCCTATGACCAATTTGTTGAATACACACAGATTTACAAATTTTTCCCCATTTTTGTTCCTCTCTCCCAGTTCATATCGTCCCATGATATCTTCATATCCGATGTTGTCTATTTCGACTTCGGCGTTTAGATCTCCCATCAGGATGGTGAGGTCCTTTCTTGGGCATTTCTCTATGATTGATTGCAGCCGCTCGTAGAATTGATCTTTAATATCGTCATTGCTATCATTGATGGGTGCATAATATTGGATAATATTCATTGTGATCCCCTCCTTCTTTGTTTTGAATGATGCTTTGATGATTCTGGATCCGTGAGATTCCCATCCTACAAGTGCATTTCGTGCTACTTTGGACAGTATCAGAGCAACTCCCTGAGTGTGTGGAGCATTGTCCTCTTCGTGACCGGAGTATAGCAGCATCTCTCCCGTAGCTAGCCTTTTCTGTCCAGCTTGGGTCCAGTGGGTTTCGCTGATTCCCAGTACTGCCAAATTGTATCTCCTCATTTCCGTTGATATTTGACTGGTCTTCCCGGTCTCCCACATTGTTTGGACGTTCCATGTACCTACGAAAATGTTTGCTCTGGTTGTTAGAAGGGGCATCGGCCTCGTGCCTTCCGAAGGAACTCGGCTTTCACCATGAGGCGTCATAGTTCTTCTCTATGGAGACCTTTTAACTCCCAGGGCAGAGTTAAAATGGTTTGAATTATTTTTTCTGGTAAGCGTTTTTTTTAGCGAGTTAGTTTTCTAAGGGATGGGGACGCTAACCCAATGCCCAACCCTCCTCCTTTACCCGGGCTTGGGCCCGGCAGTAACTCTAGAAGAGCTACAGGCGGAATAAAGATAACAGGGACAATTACAATTGACTACAAAAGGTCATAGTCAAATTAAGTCATTCAATAGTTAAGATTACGATTGATTAATTGGCCTTGATGTTGGCCAGGGGAGGAGAAGTGGTTGAATATATTTCTTCTGTACGCATAGCTCCGGTTTCTTCATCTGGATGGCTAATGCTTCATATTAGTGTATTCAACTTAAGTCTTAAAATTAAAAATTACGAAATTTTTTTGGTGATCGAATAAAAATAAATTGCCATATCTATTAGCTGTGAAATGATTCAAATCCTAATCATAAAGTGCTGATATCTAACTGATAAATAGAAAATCTGGGTTCACCTTTCCTAATAAATCAATCGATTTAGCTATCTAAGCACTTAAGTTTTATCATACCCTCTTCCGATATTATTGTTATTATGATCACCATTATTATGACTACTTTATCGCACATTTTTCGGTAACTATAATTAATTTTATTATTTCGTTTGATCATAACAACTTGCAAGTTCCTCTTATGTTTGATTACGTCATGATCTCTCGCTCACATGCAAACTTATTCCATAGTGCTATAAACTCCACTTTTTATAAACATGGAAAGTAAACGTAGTCATTTTTCACTACTAGACCAAATGTTTTTATGCATGTTACTCAAAAAATCACAATTGTAGAACCCTATTTAGTTTTACAAATTATTGTGTACGTAGAAGATTTAGAGCAGATGAAGTGAAATGTGTTCACTTCATCCTACAATTTCGTCTGTTTTACGAACGTTACATACATCTAAAAATACTATACAATTCATCAACGACCATAATAGAAATGTTTTATTACCTGTAATAAATCGGTCGGTGGTTATGCATGCTGTAATCAAGCAATCATAATCACAAAAACCTAATTTATTCTCAATAACGTTTGCACTCAAGTCATTAAACACATATGTGATGACATAACTTGGATTACATGGACTACGAATCAAAAACCACAGTTTTTACTTATTAGAAAGTAGATTCTGTATTGTGTGGTTGGAATTACGTTTTCCCTGGTTCAAGAGGGAACGAACAGAGGACATTGTAGTGAGAGTTAACCAAGCAGATTTTACAACCCTTAGGCTGCACCACAGTTACTTCGTTATGATTGAACACGACTGGTAGATAGATTAAATTTCATTGTTTTACAGGTACTCATGCTCAAAATGAAGACAGATAAGTGTCAAATATTACATGTAAACAATGATAGAAACATTATCTGAACTGTGTATTGCAATTAACTCAATATCGATACCACAAATAAACGTTTTTATGAACCAGAGATAAATAGCAAGCATAATTGTAATAATTGTTTAAAGAATTAATCCACTATAGAACGAAGAGAATCAAACATGAAGGTGAAAACCCAAGTTTTATGATGGTTTTAAGGAAAAAGAAATTTTCTATTTTTAACTGAAATATACATTTATATCTTTCAACGGTAGTTCTTAGCTCAGAGTTGAGTTTAATGAATAAATAGTTTTAAAATAAATGTAAAACGCTTATTCATCATCAAACTAAGAACAATCCTGCTTATAATGTGACTATATTCTCGAATCAGAATTGTCCCTCTCGGTCTGTGAAAGAACGGTGTGTACAGAAAAGGGCAGTATACTTACTCATTAAACTATAGTTTTTCTAATCACAGGCTGATCCAAAAATGTCCTGAACCCCTATTCAGCTTATTTAAGATGTCTTATTTTTAAAAAAATTTATGAAAATACATCAGAAAACAGTTTTATACGAAGACCCAACAGATGAATATCAGTTTAAAATCGCTAATTTTATACACTGGATGTAATACTAATTTAAACATTGATTCTTATTTCACTAAAAAATTTCATGCCTTTGCTACTGCGCTTTCGTATTCATTCCAAGTGAACAGAATGCAGTGCTCGTATTATGTATGAGGACATCTTGGTTGTAAGGAAATCCAAAATAGCTTGTTAATATTCTTAGTTCCCACTCACACAAAAATGTAGATCGAAAGTGAATACATAAACCAGTGATTTACTGCATTAAATACTTAATTCTGCATGACTTATAAAGTATGGAACAAAAATCAAATCGGACAAAATCACAAAAGATCACGATAAACATTTTGTGAAACAATTAAACCAACTTATCTACGTTGCCAAAAATCAAATGCGTTGGCACATTTGTGAAAACTACATTGATTTACGCCTCCAACATAACTTATGTCAGGAAGAGTAAGCAGTTAGCATGTTTTCTCATTCAACTGATGTCTACAGTGAATAGGAGGACTCAGTGTCGTTGACCCGATGTATTTTAAGTACTCCACAATTATACTTTTAACAAGAACCCTTCACAAGATGATTGATAATCCAGCGTTATAGTTTGGATCATGCACCAAGAACTAGATGCTACTATCTCGAATCCGATTAGTGAAGTTACGTCATAAATATACTATGTAAGTAGTAAATATTCAGCTACAACAACTATTTCCCTTTACCAATAGGATTATGCAAAATACAACGTTCCATGATTTACTTTACTCCGCACTCAACATGAATTTCTAATCCACAAGAAATAATAATCAAGTTTACGAAACGTTAAATAGAATTAAAACACCAATCGATGGAACACAGCTGTCTTTTAACTGGTTTCATATTAAAGAAAATACAGAAAAAAGACTAATATTTTGGTTACACTAAAATTTACCGTATTGAAAACCTACTTGACAAACAGCAAAAGATTGTGTAAAATAAGCTATCTTAAGTGTAAAAAGGAGATAAAAAAAATTTCTCCCAGAGAAAGAATGAGAGAGGAGATAATGGTTGACAAGCGTTGAGGTAAATATGACATTATGGTGTAAAAAAGAAAATTCTAGTCGTTCATCCTCTGGATATTCTTTTTTTTGAAAGAATATATGATACATCATAATATGTCTAAAGATTGTAGGAGATTATTATTTTTCACAGTATAATAAAACATGAATATGAATACACATTTGCCTGTCGAGGAACACTTAGATTTTCAAAATCATTTAATGTGATTGTTTGCGTAAGCTGGTTAATTCACTAATAAATCAATGTGTAGGTTTGTGCATTTATCCGTACGGTAGCCTATTTGTTGAACATAGTGTTTAAACGTGTGTGTTTGTATGTGTTACACGGCAACAACAACAACAACAAATCAATATAAACAACCCAACATCAACAAGGGTAAAAGAATGTAATATGTATCTATGCACTTATCCCATAAAAGGTTAAGTCTTGTAAACTATTAAAACGAGGTCAAATATTGATATATAGATATATCACAGTTGAATAACATATTTGGTAAAAAAAAGAATACTATTTTTTATAAGAAAAATTGTACTTGAAAACAGTTTTAATTTACTTATCCGATTGATAAATGGAATAGGAACATAGAAGAAAAAAATTTAAGAAATAATTTAATACAGTTTTGATGTACATTCACAAAAATGTATTCTAACAAGAAATACTACTAAAACTTAACGTTATTAGTAGACATCGAAACACAACCATGATAAGAAAAAAAAGTTGACTTATATCAAAGTAAATGAAGAAATATATATAAAAAATATGCAAATTTAATATAATTCATTTAAATGTCCAGCATGTTCTTCTAAACACTTTAAATGTGCATCAATTTTTTGTTCTAATAACATGGAATGCTTTTGTTCATCCACTAAAAATTGTGCAGCTAAATTATAAACATTTGTATCTTCTTCATTTAAACTATTATGATTAATTTGAGAGTGATATAATGATATTGATGATGATGGTGATATGAATGTTGAACAATATGATGGTAGATGAAGATTTGACTTTTTTTCAAATGATGATGACTGTTCCTAGAAATCAATAAAAAAACATTAAATGAATTTGGGGGAAAACAAGTAAACCAAAATAAACAACTGATGATTTTGCAATGAGTAAATATTATTTGAGAAAACTAGTGATTTATGTCATTTGTTCAGAGATGGGTTTTAAAGATAGCTAAACTGAAAACTATGATCGAGAAATTTATTTGTATTGGTTATTTGAATCTTCCCGATGATGTGTCAGGGACTAATGAATCAAACCTCATCTCATCGCACAATTCAGTAGCTATCTGGACTCAGCAACTAAGTGGGTAACGTAATGGCGTTTGGAGCGAACGGTAGTGTGTTCAAGTTCCGGGGTGAAAATCAATTCAGGGATGCAGGTACATCCAGCTGATGAGTCTCAAATAGAACGGAACACGCGTCCTGGATTTCACTAATAACTACCATCCATCTCCATGATCGAGTGTTTGAGTATTTAGTGACTAGGTCAGAATTTTAACATAATAATCATATAGAAACAAGTAATTGGTCATGGAGCAGTAACCATGTTGTTTAGTCCCCAGTGCTGATCGAATTCTATTGGTTTAGCCACAATATAGTCAGTAGGCTAATTAACTCGATATCGCCCAGTACTATATTTTACGTTAGCTTTCTGAAAGCAAAGCTATAGATCTACATTTTGTCCCAGATAGCACCTATCGACAAGGTTCATCAGTAGTTTTCAGGGACCGGATGCTATATGTTCATTTCGAATCCTCATCAACTAATAGTTCGCCAAAAAGGAAGCTAGGTGTAGTACAGTCATGACAACTTAGAGGCGTGGCAGCTGAGCCCAGAGGACAACTACATGGGGCCGATCACACAGCTTTTTTTGACTAGTTTATGATATTTAGGCTCCGTACTTTTAAAACCTTACTGTTAGTGGCTGCAATCAGTGCGGCAACATGAAGTGTGGTATTTTTAAGGCTTAATTTTACTAACCCTTTCTTTCTGTTGTAGGAAAAAAGCATCACCACAGAGAGCTGTTATCACAGAGGAATTACCATACTGTCGTCACATCTCTGTAATCAGTCGTAGACCTTTGCTCTCAAAAGCTAAACTTACTGTTTTTAGCTCTACAGCTCTTTAATTGACGTACCTGAGCATAATATGATCCAAAGAAACTAGTGTTCCAGTCAATATAGCTCAGATGAGTTATCGAGATAAACAAGACCGATTCGTTAAGTCAAGGTAATGGCCACAGTCTGAATTCTTGTAGACGTAGCTTCACTTTACATAAGTAGATATTGAAGTCAAAGCAAACAAGAATGACACAAACAAGTTAAGGACATGAATAACATGAAAAAGAGAATACAATTACAAGAAGATTGTCATTAAAAAAGATTATTAAACATAAAACAACTACTTTCAAATCAAGTCACTGAAAGTTTCCGACTATTATTTTCTATTGTCTTGTTAAATTTAAACAGAATGCTTACAATAAAAGATTGTGCTTATTCTGATGTGTAAAATGAAAATGAAAAGAAAAAGAAGCAAACTTTGAATCGTTTGAAATGATTGGAATAAGTCATATCTTCCTTCTTTACAAAATGCTTTAATTGTCAAGAATCTAACATGTATAGACTAAATTAATTTGGAACTTATATTAAGTATTTTATCAAAATGATAATCATGAAGTAATAACTTAAAAACTGTTTTACAAGGAGAATTAAGTCATTAATTTTAATCAATAATCTGTTGTATAATTAACTAAAACATCATATTCTATTATACTTACTTCATTTGACAAATTCATTGATTGATAACAATGAAAATTTGTATCTGATTCAACAAATGTACTATCTTGTGTGAAAACAGAGAAGTGTGGAACACATGTGGATACAATTCTAATTGAATCAGTAGAATAATTCAAACATGAATTTGGGAATGAATCAATAATAGTTTCATTGATTTTGGCAAATTTTGATATTTCAGAAACTGGTGAATTTAACGTCAATAGTGTGGGTTCTAAAACAGCAGCATAGTCCTGCTTATCTAAACTGTGAATTTTAAGAGTAAAAGATAACCATTGAAAAATTATTAAAATCATTTTTTGTGAATTTACAGTAAACAAAAGGAACTGACTTTACTAACTACGTTCAACGAGCGGTTTTAAACTTATGGTGCGATAAGAATGACAGAATATTTACCAAATATTAAGTATACAGAATAATCTATTTCAATATAACTTGCCAAACACAGGTTTATGTACTCCGCGCTTTGAACCACACCTTTTATACTAGGGCTAGTGATACTATCTGGCTAGCCAAAGTGAGGTAGTCAAACCGGATTTCATACTTGTGACTTAGTAGTTGACAGTTGAGTACGTTAACCACTAAGCTGTCGTTCCGCAGACTATTAAAGTTATGTTTTATAACTGCGATACAGCCACTGGGCACAGACCACAGAGAAGCTATGGATGAGAGTAAAGTAACCTATAAGATTTAAGGAAATTACACCGCGAGTGACCTACTGCAATACTGAAGCTGATTTATCAATCAACAATAATCGATCTCGTGTTACATATTTCTTAGTGTTAATCAAATCAAATCAGTTAGGTTGAACAGTATCTACTATTCTAAGTGGTTTGATATCTCGTGTACTTAGTCTGAATTTAAGGTACTTAGAGTTAATCTTATCCCAATCAATAATATCCACCAACTATGACTATGTAATTCAAATAAAATATGTAAATATCAGATAATGTAATATATTTTTTATAACGTTTTATATATTATAAAAGTATTCACGAACTAGAATCACGATTATCATAGATTAACTAAAGGTGAAAATAGAGACCAATAAAACATAGACACCTTCTAGTTAAATGGATCTAGAAATCTTAAATTCAATCTCACATGAAGGAAGAGTGTGTGTGAGAATTCTGATCAACTGTTTCAAAATTGAATGAAACAGTTTCGTGGAATTAATGAGTTGTGGCCAGCAGTGGGATTCAGAACACATGCTCCATAATATTTAAGACTCATCAGCAGGATAGATGGATATACGAGTATTGATGTCCCCGTTAGTACTCGAACCGAGTACTTTCCTGATTTAAATACTAACAAGCTATACACTGAGGTACATAGTCGAGATGGTTACTTGATTGTCAAATAGATATATAAATATTAGTAAGACGGTGCTATTATCCCGTCGCTGATATTCAAGATTAAACCTTGATCAGTTTTCTGAAACTCGGCCATGGAAATGGATGGAATAATTCAAACGTTTGTTAATAATGATATAGATAAAACGGTTGTGTAAAATCCTCCCTAACGTATGAGAATTCTCAATCTGACACAACATCGTCATTACGAAAAACACTCTCAGCAGGGATAAACTGTTATGGATGTAGAATAATGTGCCAATCATTATCATGTTAAGTCTAGTGATGTCCTTGGACGTTAAATGGACGTTTTCTATTGGCCATTATTTATTTCATCCGTTAAATATTGTACAAATGCTGTTTTCTATTTTTATGGTACGATGTGGTATGTTTGGCTAGTATATAAATAGAGTATGTCTGAAATACAATGATTCATATCTCCGAGGCTGTGACTTGTGTTCTGGACTCAACTAACTGGGCTAGACAGGGAAGTGGGACCAATCGAGACTCTAGGCCGCACGTACGTGTTTACGTGTCATTGAATCGATCGATAAATACGCTGCTCTCTAATTTTTCCAGTCAAGGACACAACAATTAGCACAGGGTAAGAATCGACCGCAAGTTTAAAGTCATAACATAAACAATGCGTGAGCTAAGGAGAAATAAGCTAATCAAGAGAAAATAATACGAGGTATGAAATAAAAGAAAATTATTAAAGACAACTTATTTTATTCTTTTTCACTTATACACATACAGATAAAAGTTTTGGGAAATTAGTTATTCCCTTTAAGAACATTGTTCAAGGTTATATATTTCTGACGCCAACGTAGCGAAATAAAAGATCTGATCGGGCGCTTCATTTAACAGTACAACTAACAAAATGTGAACGTGAAAATTATATATTGATTTCAAAAATATGCAATCCTGGTTATGCATTTTTCAATATTAAATAATTTGATGTATGAATGGAGAAGAAACCATATTTCTGTAAACAATCCATTTATTTCAAATATCCTATGTATGACCAAATATTGTTTACATGAATAAATGTTCAGAGTTCTTTGTTTTGACCTTGTAAAATACAATGTTATCCGAAAGATGAAAGGATAATATAAACATATATTATTTAGAAAAAACTACTTATTCTAGCTTAGTAATAAGTAATGGTGATGATAGTCATAGAAAGTAAACGTGAATATTCTGTTCTGCAGCTCCCATCAGTCATAAAACAAAAAAAACTACTTCTACACTATGACACTTTATTGTGCTTAGCATCTTGTAAGTTGTGTAATCCTACTTCTTTATGAAGTATAAGTTGTAATCTAAGTTTTATCCACTATAGAATTCATGGATTCATGTGAGTACTTCAATCGAGATTGCTAAAACACAAATTATATTTATGTTCCAATACTTAATCTAAAGAAAATATTAATAAGTTAGCCAGTAGAACCTGCCATGAGTACGCATTGGTTCATGTTTCCAAAACTTAAATCAATTCTACCAAGGGAATAAGAAGGAAATAGAAAGGAATAGTATAAAATACAACCGAAACATGAACAGGAGAAATACAGTTTTTAAAAAAACGAATGAGATCTCAGAAGAAAACATTTAAGGATGACACAAGACTTTAGAAATAGAAAAAGGCTGAGAATAATTGCAACAGTGCCACAACAACCGATTGCGCGTCTTATCACACAAAGTAGTCAACGGCAAGTTACAACTATTATACGAGCCAGGATCAAGAATCTCGCATATATTAACATGACTCATACTATTCATTAATGACTTGATGAGGTAAAACTATGTTTAAATATGGCAGCCTCTAGGTTTTTTCATACTTACTCCTTTATTAATCAGAACTGCACATTGTGATAAGCGGAACAAAAACAAAGTAACTCCTTTTAGATACACTCTACAAATTTTTATTTTATTTGAATGCAACTTACCAAGTGCCGATTTTTGCACTCAACTATGAGTTAAATGCTTTTTGTAAGAGCTAAAGATACCACCCAGTTGTTCGAATTGAAATAGAATATTTTAACCTTACAACAAAATACTTATTATGATTTATATGCTTTAACCGCTTTACCACTTATAGCCACACTTCCGAGTGTAAATTTCTAATGCTAAAAAGTTAGTGAAATTTATAATTATTATTAGTACGATTGGTTGAAAAAGACTGAATTGAACAACATTCTAAGTAACTTACTCGATTAATCCATTTTCGTTTGAATTGATACCATTATTATTATCATCCAAAAATTTAACTGAGGGTGACAACAATTTAAAGCGTGCCGATGGTATTGGTTTACATGATGCAACAACATCAGATTCACCGGGTGGAAAAATTTGTTTTTCATCTTTATTTCTAAATATTTTGTTTGGTGTAATTTCTATTGACTGTTCAGAATTTTTAGATTCGTTACAAACATCCGTAGAGTTAGCAAGTAAATTGATGTTACTGTGAAAATCTTGTTTAAAATTCGGACAGTTTTTGTTTCCTTGATTAATTTGAGCCTGAGAGTGATTGACTTCCATTTCAATTTGCTTATTGACTAGATCTACTGGAGCGTTAACAGTTTTACGATGGGTACTACTATTTGATTGATTGATAAATAGTGTTGAATTAAGATCAGCACAATAATTATTAGGTATTTTATTCAACTCTTCCGTATTTGTTAATGAGTTGGACGAAGTGAGATTTGTCTATTAAGAAATAATTGGATGGAAGATAAACGAACTGAAAACCCAACTAGAATATCGAAAGTAAAGGAAAAGATATTTCGAAATAACATTTTACCGCAAACACCTACAGCTATCAGTAGTATATTCGTAAAGAAGCAGGTCATTAACTTGAAAACGAAAAGGTAGAATCCATGACAGAAGTTCGTATTCATTCACCGATCATATTACAAGGATAATCAATAGACAATACAACTGAATTGATGTACACTTTGGAAACTTTAGTGTACTATAAATTATTTGTAATGGAATAAAACATCAAGATGTTAATCAAGTCAAAACATTCCGGATTTAAACCTATTAAGTAGATTCGTTATGTTCACAGTGCGAGGTAGATGACCCTGTATAACAGTTTAGATATGTGTTCTTAAGGAATTTCAAAGTGAGACACAAAAGGTGTTCAGACAAGTTTGTTGAACGAAACGTTGGAATTATTTAAATTTCAATCTTTGAGATTATTTCAAATATAATATTCACATATAATAAATCATTTTAAATTATATTACTTTAACACATAATCAGTAGTAAAAGTCAATTGACAAAATTGTGCCTGATGAAGTTCCTGAAAAGGCGGTGAGTCAAATGAATGTGTAACTGTAACTCTCCCACAAGAACTGCTTTTACTTTATTGAAAACACTCTTGACTTAATTTTAGATAACTTTGATTTCTGGTTTAAAATGACAAGAATAACAAGAATTGTAGTACCAGTAGGAGTTGTGATAGCAGCCTATATCATTTTACCTGAATTTCAATAGCTTTAGTTCACTTAGTTATAAGAAGGCATTAGTTAAAACACTATTTTATAGGGCAGAAAGGATATCTACCACTGACAAACTGGAAGAAGAATTGATGGGAGTGGAAAAAATGCCTACGAGACAACTTTTACCCACAAAAGTTTATTCACAATAAAAAACCAATAACTACAAGCCATAACTTCAAAGGTGATGAGGTTGCAAACACAATCAACAGGAGACTGAGTACTGCGCTAGCCAGAACTTATCCGGCGGCCAAACTTCAAATTCTGTATAAAACAACATGCTCAATAACTCAATCAAAGGTTGATAAGCATCCTTTTCATGTTACCGCCAATTATATTTATAAATTTACGTGTACCTGCCAAAGCAGCTACATTGGCCGAACAGAAAGGAGGGCATATCTCAGATTTTTTGAACATGTTCCAAAAAGCCTCAGAACAAAAGAAAGAAAGACTCTAAACAGTACAATCACCAAACATCTCCTTGATACAGGACATCAGGTCGATACCCTACAATCATTCAAGGTGATTAGTAAGTAGCCAAACTCTAGTCTTCTGAAGTTTGCTGAAGCAGTTGCTATCAGGCGCCAGAAGCCTGATTTATGTGTTCAAAAGGAGATGGTTATTAATCTTTCCTTGCCTTGGTGATTAATATTCCTTCGTTATATCTTAATATTTTTCCTTTTCTTTAAACTCTATCTTGCATTTATCACACCATTGAGTTTTATTCCAACTATCTTATTTTATCAACTGAACTTTACTCATTTTATTCCTATCAGTGTTTACTTGTTTCTAGCCGTTTGAACTGTTGTCACAATGTTCTTTCATCACATAAGGTATATATTTACAATATTCAGTCTATTAAATTTATTTACACCCTTGCTATACTATATGAATATGTCTTCAATATAACTTCCAATCAAACTCTTTCACGTAAGTAATTTAAACCCATTAATTATGATTTTAAATACCACAGGTTGTAAGCAGCTAACGAGAACCAACGAAATAAAAATGAATTCATGCTATTCTGCTAGAATGTTTGTTCTTGCTCTTTTCAAAATGATAAAGGGAACTATGTGTATGTCATTTTAAATTGTTGTAACACTGCAACCAAATAGAATAATTATATTTTAAGTGGGAAAAACACTTGCATAGTCATATACATATTTTGATGATCCGCAGATATGACAAAATATACGGTTCTTATATTTCATATGTGTTAGCGGGACATATATTGGATTAAATCATGCTCAATGCACACGCTGATTGACTAATTCTTATCCAATCAGCGCTGGTCGATACTTGGAGAATACTCTAGAAATCTTCTCATGTAAAAACTATAAATATACTAACGTTTTTCCTATTGTGCTTCTTACTTAAATATAACCTTTTTATTTGGAATATAATCTCCTAGTATCCGAGAATACTAAGCAATAGGAATAGCTGAGTTGTAATAAGAGAGAATTATAACAATATGCGATCACTTGCCAAAGAGAATTTATTAAATAGTAAGCACTTATGAAAAGATAAGTGTAAATGGATTATTGATAGAATTATTCGCCAAATCATGTTTTAATTTCTTTCTCGACAAAAATTCCATCAGTAAAGAACGTTATAAAAGTAAGAAAATGGTGTAGTATATGTTGAAAATTTAATTAAAGCTTTGACTAACTTAGGAAACAAAAGAGTTTCGACCGAGATTCCGGACAGATTTCCTCGGAATTATAAAATATCTAAACATAATCAACCACTTTTTTTACAACTATCTAGAAATTTACTTTATGTTGACTGGCAAGCAAAAACAACGCAAAATTAATAAACAAAAAAACGGAATACCAAGCGTTGCCATACTTTCCTACAATTCAAGAAAATCCAACAACAGTGAGAAAAGAAATACATAAAAAGTATGCTTACTGACTGCGTATCATTGAAGGTTAAGGTAGGTGTTACTTTGATTGGTCCATCATTGGGCAGTAAATAGTCGCTTGTTTGTACACCTTCATCTGAAGTACAATGTCTTGGCGTCTGATTTATTTTATATGATCTGGATGCTTGAATCTTCATTGTAATAAATTATGTATAATTGGATGTTATGCAACGGAGACAAAAGACGAAAGATCATCATTTTTTTAAAAGTTACAACACTTTCGGTTTCCTCTACAGACACAGATGTTAATTAGTCTCTCTATTTGATAAAACTATCAGTTTTATTTTATGGACAGATTAAGAAATCAATAACTAGTTAAAGTCTACAAAACAATGCAGATTCACTTAGACCGGTGATCACATTCTAAGTTGATCGATCAAGAAATACAGAGATAGAAAATGATGACAGAGAATACTACTCAGTGGCTAATCAACTTTAGATAAACCAGTTCCATAGGACGTCAGTTGTTACCCTGATAGCTCAGTGATAACGTCTCGGACTGTAAGTTCGGGAGGTGTGGGTTCCAACTCCACAAGGGGAATCGTCTCTCTCAAAATTGCAGGTGCACCTTGCTGGAAAGTTCCAAATAGCCCAAAACCTAGATTCAGGATTTCCTGCCGACTAACTCTAACTATCTAATATCTTATACATGTGTAACACCGTTGGGCCACTTGAATTAATGGCTGCAATTCAACTTGATTGATGGAATTCAGCCAAGACTGAAGGACTAGACAAATATGACAATGGTCACTACTCGGTGATTAATCAGCTGTAAATCCATATTCGTATTTTGGATATGTTGTGTAAAGGACAAACTGGTGGATTTTAACATCGTCCAGTCGAAAAACAGAGAATATATGATTTGAAAGTTAAATAGTTGACCAAATAGGTTTTTATTCCACGACCAATTGTGAAAGAAAGAGTATGGTAAATATAAAGACTCGGACGTACAGAGAACACCAAGCTGGAGATTCAGAAATTAGAAAATGAGTGCGTAAAAATCATTGCAACTTGTCTTGATTAAAAAAGGTTCACACAAACTATGAAGTAATGGTGACAGTGATTCGGAATAGACAACTATTCATAAAAAATAATTAAAGATTGATTTTACAGTGACAAGTGTAGTAGTCGTGTTACTATGATTCCCATTTTCGTTACTATTGCTATTACCATTATTATTATTATTATTATTATTATTATTATTATTATTATTATTATTAGTAGTAGTAGTAGTAGTAGTAGTAGTAGTAGTAGTAGTAGTAGTAGTGAAAGTAATAAGGATTATGAAAACAGCATGTTAAATTGCACAAATATTTCTATATTGATTTGTAGGTAAAATAACGTGCGAATAACCAGTTTAAATACACAAATATTATGGAAAATAAACAAAAGAGGTGGCAAGATTTGGTTACACCGTCTGGTAGGTCTTTCATAACTATAGAAGAGGAGAAATATTATGAACTTATTTTGAATATAAGAGCGAAAAATTGCTGGCTCGATTCTTATAACCTCCATTATATTGAAGAGGTGAGCTCGAGTCCTGTCGGAAAAATGATAAATGACAACTGTGTGCGCTTTAAACTTAGATATCGAATGAGCCAGGTTTGATAGGAAAGACATATGTAATGACTTATCTGGACCACGAAGTCAGATAGTCACTAACGTATAGCAGGAAAATCGATAAATATACTTTAAGATGATAAAACCAGGCAACCAATCCTTTGTTTGAGCAACCATCATTGAGTGACTAAAAAATGATGTATAGACTATCTAGAATAAGATTTCTTTTGGTAGATGTATGACATCGATAGCAACAGCTTTATTAGATTGAGGTCTCGGAAAGAGTGTTTTTTAACGAATAGTTAATGTGTCTAACCCCCTTCTTATCACACATATTTTTTTCAAAAATCTTATATGGTAGTAGATTTAAGTCAATTACATTATGAAACTTTTTGTTTATAGTCACACTAAAATACACACTTATTTAAACAAAATACTTATTCTTCACAAAAGCTTAATCAGATTCATTAGAATCAGACCTGAAAGGTCTGGTTAGACGTTGCTGTAAACAATGGATTACTATTCGCTTTGCATCAATCTGGAAACAATACCTACATTGTGGATTACATATTTAATTAAAGTTTCTTTCATGGTATTCAGAAGATACATATATACATACAAAAATTGTGTAAAATCATTAAAAAATATATATATGAAATAAATCATAGCACAATTTTAAACGCTAACCGACCTAATTTAGTTAGTAGAGCTGGTCAACATCACTGACCGAGTAAAGAAATTGGTACTTAGTGAATAATTTACACGAACTATATACATTTGATAGAGAAAAGTTTAAGTATATTTTTTTTAAAAAAAAAGAAAACTACTTACATTACAATAATTTAATATTTTCAAATAGACATATGAAGAAATTCCAAATGATGAAACATTATAGTACTCAAAAAGATAAAAACCTACTTGATAAACATATTTTTTAAGTCGACATATTTCAGATATTGTTTTTGATAATTTAGATGATAAATCCTATATTGAAGATAATAGATGTTTATTATCTTTAATAGATTTAAATCATAGCTAACTTAATATAAAGTAAAAACATAAAACCAAGTTCTATTTAGTATATTTTAAAGATAAAAATTCATTTATTGGATGAAGTTCTACTATTATATTGACCTTTAATTACTTTGAAATTTCTATATCTAAATGATTAGTCTGTGAACATGTGAATAACCCCATCGCTACAAATAGTAATAAAGTTCAAACGTGTACTTAGTTTATAAATTTGTCAAGACTTATAATCTATTATTAAAATTATTTTACGTTCAGAAACTGATTTATATGAGTCAACATTACTTTCTATCTCCATAATTTACATGAACCGCATCTGTAGTTAATAGACGAATTTATATTAGCTTATATAGTATTTTTGTATATAAGAGTCCTTCCAACGGCAGAAACAGTAACCAGTTGGATTAAAAAACCAGAGTTATGTGTACAATAGAAATTTTCTCAACCGCTTCTCTTACCTTGGCCAAACCTCAGGACCAGTTAATCTATCGTAATCTTAACTATTGAATGACCTAATTCAACTAATGCAATTGCAACCTTTCTTCGTTAAATTTAATTGTCTTTGTTATCTTTATTCACCTATCGTTGTATTATTATTATTATTAGTTTAACATCACTATTAATCTCCTGAATGCATAATTAATCTACTTAGCACCCACTCAACTTTATTATTTCCTATTAATTTCATATACATTTTTGCCTGACATAATCTTCCACTAAACATTTGATCGAATTTGTAGCTGCATTATTATTTCTCTTGCCTTATTTGAGTCATATTTATTCTGATCATGAATCTTATAATTTCACTTATAAGCTGACTCAAGTTAATACTGCATATTAGTCAACTCAACATTAACAATTTATTTCTATCTAACAATCCTAAATTCACATATTATAGCTCCAGCTCCAGTACACTGAGAGAACAAATGGCGTATGAACCAATCGTTGGTCACCGGCTACCATGGGACTGAATCTCCTTACGATGCTCCACTGCCTTGTGGATCAGACCTTTAGGTCGAAGGCTCTGGGTGTGGCCCCCTAGGAAAACCACTTGCCTCGGTTTGGGCACCCGGGCAGTACCACAGTCCTCATACAAATCAAATGAGATTTGTGTGGTGCATATGTATCTAGTTTCCCCTTGTACCAGTATTTGTGTTCAAATAAATAATTGATTAAATAAATAATGCTTTAAACGATGTACTTTGCCTTACATTTGGTCACTTTTTAGATTATCAATTTGGATATATAATTGAAGAACCTGAGGGGAATTTATTGAAAAGAATATTTCCCGTTCATATATAAGTTCTGATTACGGTTGGAATTTTTAAACGATTAAACTCTAGTATTGTAACAAATCCATTGAAAATATCCATTGAGGATTCATAGTCACTCCGATCTATATGTATGTGTTCAACTCTTCCCAGTTCAAAAAGTAGAGGATAAATGATATAGATCATCAACTACTGTGTCGTCTCCAAGTGAAGAAAGCGTTTAAGAGGACAACTAGTTCAATAACTAATATATTTTGACAATGAAACATATTTTAAATAAAAACATACGCCTTACAAAGAGGGTTATTTATCAAGTAAACTTTTACAAAACTTGATAGAAAGCTCAATTTTTTTGAAAAATAATAAAATTACCAAAAGTTAACCACCAAGATTAAAATAAAAAGCAAAGAATTTCATCAGATTTACTTGGATTAACCGAACTTATATCCATTTTCGTAGATTTTAAGTACTATTTGAATAATATACATATGGATAAAAAAAGATATGCGTCAATAAATACATGTTCTTTTTTCTTACCTTTTCAACTAAAGAAAGCTTTCTTTCAAAATTCCCCACTCTTTCACGGGCTTCATCAATGGAAGTTTCCAGGGACTTAGTTTGTCCATTAGAATATGCTTTGGATTCCACTAGACGACGAATTGTAGCAGACGCTACTTGACATGTATTTTCAAGTCGACTGAAAGCAGAAATGAATTAAATTAGATTGTGCACTGTGATGTACTAAAAAGATATAAATTCATTCGTCAGTAGCTCGATAAGACAAAATGTTCTTACCATCACCTTTGTGGATTAATGACCTATATGAAAATGTTAAGAATGATTTAGATTGAGTAAGGAACATTACTACAACTAAACCCATCAACATATTTCGGTCCTAGTTGTAAATATCCTGATAATAACGCGAAAGGTAGCGAATTCCCTAGATAATTTTACTCCCTGTCTTGATCAATTTCAACTCAAATTTTCAAAATCTAATAAAAGAAATCCGTTTTATACAAAATGGTTCAGATTGTCATAGCATAACTGATATGTTTTGACCAATTTTTATTGCCTCAGCCTGGCAAGAGGAAAATTAAGACTGAAAATAGAGCCATAGACGATGACGTCCAATTAAATTTAGCTTTCTCATGGAAGATATCAGTTATCGAATATGATTAGTTTTATTCGATCGATGTCTAGTGTTTTTGCTTTCTTGTTAAAGCGCAAGTACAAAAAAATGGATAGTGACGTTGCAGTAGTTGATAATTAAGATGAAACTTAAGTTTTCGAGAAGACAGCAAAATGTAACCCTTTTGGATTTATTGTACAGAAGAATTCACTTTTGAAATCTGTAAGTACGTTTTGAATGTAATCAAGGGAATATTTGAATTTCAAGGTAGCAGTATCAGTCAGCTGAATTCCAGGTGCAAAACTTTTGAATAAATATCTAGGCTCTCATAATGTTCACAAATGTACTTCCGGATTGTGATATATACGGAATCTTTCAACATCATCAATAATATATAACACTAAGTTTTTCTGTAAATATAAATCATGAGCGAGAATTGTCATCCAACTAATCACGAAAATTTATCAATGTATCTAATTGGACTGAAGAAATTAGGGTATAGTTTGTATCAATTGTGGATTGCTTACTGTTGATCCCAGATAATTTAAAATTAAGTATCTTGAACTGAGAACACTAATAAGATTTATGTTAGTCAGGTAAGCAAAACCTAGAAAAACGGTTTATCAGTAGTTTTTATGGATATATTCGACATGATTTTAGTGGTGATTATTCTTAACTTCGTTAAATGCAAACTGGGTATTATCAGTAATACGTACCAAATTAGGATATCCCAAGAGTATGGCTTGAAACTGTTATCACGCTTTGTGATATTACTTTGCTTGTCTATAAAAAATAACCCCTAATTCAACATCGAAAAATCATAGCTGAATTTTTCCAGATGATTTAGTCAGTAGTTCACTAAACTTATGACGGCAAAACATAAACATGACTATAACATCTTAGCACTAATTGTTCTAAAAGATTGAATGAGTCGTACTTACCGAAATATTAATTACTAATTAGTGCTTGTGATTTTCAGTAGCCACTGAAGAATTGAATTGATAATTGTTACAATAATGGAAATTTTTTAAACAGAACGAACATTCTGAATATTTTTGCTAACTATATAAATGTTCTCCATTCCCTCTTTCTACCTGTGATAAATATGGCTCAGATTTTTCCCAGGCTCTTCGTTGTCTCCGTTTGTTTATTTATAAAGATTCTGTCATGATAACCAACGTATTCGTTTCCTTATCAGTTGCTCTCTAATTATATAAAAACTAAAATTAGCTTATAAGTACCATCCCAAACAACACCTCATTATTACAACTCAATAATCAAATACGGCATTATGTTGTGGATAATTAGTCATACTGACTGTATGGACGTTGATGTAGCACTTAGATTTACAAACTTTGATTGACGAAGAGTTCCGAAATCTGGCATGTTGATTGAAAATCAAGTATCTAAACCAATGAGTTAGAAATCCTAATTTTATGGAAGAGATTATTAGAAGATTTATTCTATGTTAACAAACACTTTACTTAAATCCAAATAAATAGATACATCCAAGTAAGTGAATCTAAAGCTAACTGATAGGGGTGGTTTTCGTAGACCTGAACAGCAATCCATTTGATCAGAAAAATATACCAAGTTTAATTAATTTAAATTATTGGTAAGTAAATCGATTACCTTATTTCTAACATTTTATCTATGAGAGTATTATTAGCTTCATTCAGTTGATTTTCCAAGTACTTAACTTTATGAGTAATTTCTTCTTGATCACTGAGAGCCTGCTGTAACTGTTGTAATGGTGATGATAAGTCAGTAGGTGAAATTTGTCCATGTTTAACTGATATATTGGGTGTTGAATTGTGTTTTCGATGTAACAGCAAGTTTAAACGCTTTGTCATGGTTTTTTCTTGACGTTTTACAGATTTCTGAGAACCATTGATAACTGACTTTTTCATTTCAGCTTCACGAGGAAGGCGATGAATCTCCGAAATTTTATTTGTGAGTGATGCTTTGGTAATCATTAATTCTTCGGCCTATGAAGAAATTAATAATTAGAGAAATTGGCTCAAAAATACCTGAAGCTTAATTGTATTTTTATGATCATTTAACTGTTTACTAAGTTTGTCGATGGCTAACTGATGCTCTTCTTTCATCTCTATAATATTATTCTTTTGATTGGTTTCCTCTTGTAATTTTATTTCAAATTGAGATTGCAATTCACCATACCGTTTCTGAATATCAAGTGTGCTATTTTTTTGATCGGCCAACTGTTGTTTCAGTGATGAAATAATCTGTTCATTTTTTTGTCTAGATTTCAAGTTGAAAAATGATAAACAACGTTTTAAGTATGATCTAGTATTGATTCCAAGATTCTGCCTTGACTTTTTGGTTAAACTAAATACCTAAATGTTTTATTGAAACCAGGTCACTTGTATATAGATATATTGAATAAAAAAATGCACTGGAATGATAAAATAGTAGTCTACACACGGACAAAGTAAGGGGACTAATTATCTTAAATACGGTTTGAGTTGTTCGACTGGTTGATACCTTAGTTTTAATTTAATAAGTAATAACCTAATAGTCGATGCACTGAGTCTGTTTTTCAAACGGATAGTGGTTAATTAGTAAGTTGTGTAACATCACAACATTGCGTAGTCCATTAAAAATTTGCAATAAAAAGTTAGTACAGAACATATACGTATGCAAAATTTCTTAAGGTGCCTTTTCATAAGATTACATTCAAAGTATTCAGCGTATAGTGTTAAACTGTATTCAACCACCAATACAATAACAATCAGAGGATTCAACAAGAAACTGTGAAGACGAACGATTAAGGCGAGTTATTCTACGTAAAATATCTCCAAAGACCGCAAGAAACTACATTCTACAGGAAGCCCTTAAAAGTTGTGATAAAGTGGGTTAAACGATAACTAATAATGAAGTCTAGATATCACTCAAAAATCCAACCGAAATTCGAACGAAACATAAACTACTGTAAACATTATGAACCATAAAAAGGTTAGGTGAGATTAGATATTGTAAATGAGAGAAGCTCTTACTGTTAAACAGTTGAAAATTTATAAATAAACAAGTTTTATCTCAAATTTTACGAATGCTAAAGGTTATGTTTCATAAGGATTTATAAAACTTATAGTCAAATTTCAGTGAGCCACTTTAGGTTTTCAAGAACTTTGAATTGGCACATTAACGAGTAGGTCCCAGATTTTAACCGGCTTCACCTTCCTAGGTTTGAGTAGCCAACACAATCGACAAGGCTCAAAGCTGAGTACAAAAACCTGTGTTCAATATATGGGGTAACTACATAGACTGAAGTTAAGAAATAATAGTTAATTCAGTAGAGAAAATTTAATTTCGTATTTACGTTTGTATTTATAGTTGTTTGGCAAATATATATCTAAAGAATAATAAAAAAGATTGAGTTACAAAATGATTTCAGATGTAACCTTTTCTATTTTTCTATAGATATATACATTTGCCAAACAACTATAAGTACAAATGTACAGTTTGAGTGAATAGATTCGTCGAAAAAAGATTTCTCCACTGAATTCTCTTTGTTTTTATTTAGTGACACAATAGGTTGCTTTGATAGTGAAGTCTACAAATTAACATATTAGAAAACAGCTTCAATACTTTATTCCCAAATCGAAAAACAGCTATTTATGAATTAAAGGACTAGATTAAACGTATCTGACCACTGGCATCATCATAAATCTCGTGTCTTTCACAACTGGTACCTGGCTAACGAAAATGAAATAAAAATGGTGGCATCTGAACCTCTAAATCACTGGTTAAACATGGAACGCTGGAACCAAGATCACAAAAAACTATCACAAGAATATCATTAAATTTTTCTGCAATTCCTCCCGTGTATTAAAGTCATGAGGTGATTACTGCAAATTATGAGATAAACAGGATATGTGATGGTTATATAACTAAGTGAATAGAATGGCCAAAATTTTGAGCTGTTTAATTCTATTTTGAAATAAAAATGAGTGTTCATCAGTCCTAAAATCTCATCAACCATATGGTAAGATAAAAAAACTTTTATTTTAGTGAGTCTTACAAACAGGACTAGCCAGAATAACTGCCTAATGAACCATACCATCTATTTGATGTCAAATGTTGTACCTTGTGGTAGAATATTAGCTTTAAAAAACAGGAATCAAAAGGCTTGACTTCTAATCTGTAAGAAATAATCAATGTGAAATATAAACATTCTTACCGAAAATTACACAGTTCATGAGTCAGAAATCGGATAAAAACAAGAAAAAATTTAAATACGATGAAAATCGCCCAGCATTTACAAGTCGATGAATTTTTAGGTTGACTGAAACCTTTACCAAGTATTTATATCAATATCATGCTGAATAACAAAATCAGGCCTAATGATTATATGTCAACGATAGGACAGGAAGTCTATGAGCACACTTTTTATTCAACTTGCACTGTAGAAAACATCTCCTTGGTAAAAAATGACGTGTGATTATTTGACTTAGGCTAGAGAATAACAGTAAGGAGACAAGTTGCCGTACTACTGAAAAATGATTAGAAGTTCGACTTTGCTCGACTGTAACATCGAGTAACCAGAAACAGAAATTAGACTGCTTTATAATCTGGACAACTGTCCCATTTTTATAGTGGCTACCGCATATATTTATTCACATTATATTTCACTATTTATATCCCAATATAATATACAAAATTAGGTACACTTCGAAATAATTATTCTACAAACCTGGATAGTTGACCGAAAAGTAAATGACACACCTTAATCTCTCGTAATCGGCTTTCAGAGCTTCATTTTCAGTCTCTAAATTACGTAGATGCATTGAGAAATCACTTTTTTCTGCAACTAATTGCTTTTGATATTTCCTTTGGAGATTACTGTAACTAGCTTTCATTGCGTCAACCTTGTGACTTAATTCCTCGATCTGCTTGCCATAACAAATCCTTGGATTTTTGGATTCAACCATTTCAAGGCGCCTAAAAGCATCTTGTAGCTATCAAAACAGTTTATTAAATAAAAAAACAACTTACATCCCTTTCTTTTTCGTTAACAAGACCCTGAAGCCTGTCATTTTCAGACACCTTAATCGACAGCTTTCTTTCAAGGGCTTTAAGATCTTTTTCCCACTCACATTTCTTCTTCTCAATGAGCATATCAATCTCAACTAAAAGCTCCTGTAATTCATACTCAAACTCAGATATGTGTGGCACAAGAAAACCAAAGTTTTTCAATCTAAAAATCTCAAATTTACGAAACCTCAGTACTTATTATTCTCCAGCTTCCGCTCCACATTGGTTGACTGACCAAGTGAAGACGAAAATCCCAAGGACATGTCAAGCAATTTAAAGGAACACAAAACAATAGGTTTGGTTTATTGACGCCAACAAACAAAATAAACGTTTGCAAAATGACAGTGTGCGAATTTCTGAAATAACTTCATTATCATATGCTTTCACGGAGGTCAGGAGATAGAATTCAATAATTTTTGTGCAGTATATCTATAAGGATTCGAAAGATTTCTCTGTCGATTTATAGTTTTGATTTCCTGATTACCATGACATCGTGCCTGCATCGATGCTAATGATTGCCACTTTCTTCCATCGTAGCTTTAAGTGAAACAGCTCTGAGTATTTTGCATTTGGCTCTCCTAAAAAATTTTAGAACCGGTGAAATGTGACTGAGCCTTAGCCAAATCGTCCAGCAGGAATGTCACTCAATATTAAACAATATGTTGATCGGCTTCAGGATCAAGGACAACCAACACGCATCAATCGACTTCACATGAAGGATGAGCATATGTGCTAGTGATCACACTCTATTTCCTTTATCTTTTCCTACTGATGAATTTCTGTAGAAACATTATCTAGCTATTGTACCTGAGTACGACTAAAGGGTATTAAGTGAAACGTGTGATATTGATGTAAGCTGGCAGGTCAAGCCACTCTCATTCAACTGGAATAGACCTTCAGCCATTGGCAAATATCTCACACCTTTGTGATCTACGCAATCATTCTTCTACCAACCGGATTCTTTTAAACTGTTCAGGAGTTTGTGTGCAGAATTTAGGTTTTCGCCCACCGAGCTATTTGCTTTGCCATCGACGTTTCACTGACGGTCGCATTTGAGGCTTTGTTGTATGAAATGGGTGAAAGCGTAACAATCATTAGTAAATTGGTTATATGTGGCAATCTAATCCTTTTGCTTTAGTCATCTGAATTTATATTTGATGTTTTGGAGTTATACAAAATACTTAAAGTTGTTACACTCAATATTTGCCTGATTGGTACCAATAAAGCGAACTATTTCACTATACCGAATTGATATACGGTTTGTCAAAAGAAATTCTGTTAAGAATAATATAGGTTATTGGTCAGCGAAAGTCCAGTGATGACTTATGTATATAACGTTCCACATAACTATCACAAAACGTAATAAGTCAGAAACTCGTTTTCATACCTTCTAAATTAATTTATGTGTTCATTGGGCTGTCCTAAATAAGTTATATGCTGACCTTCCTGTTTGATCGGCGCTTAAGTCTGTTCTTAGAAATAACACACATATTACTATTAATGGCTTTATTCAATATTATATTTTGGTACATACTTCACACGACCAAATTCCTAACACAGTTATGCTGAGACTGGATCTGGTGTGTAACGTGGACGCATTGCCACTTTGGAGAAGATTTCGAAGACTATTCAGTATATGTGAAGTAATGCACTGATATGCACTTCTATAGACTATTTATTTAACATGCATGTTGTGAAACAATAAATGTTGTAATTTGTAGATCATGCCTGTATAAATGGCATGTACGTGCCTTTGCGGAAATAAAAAAAAGAAGTAACCCCGATCAACTCTTCAACATTTGGCTGCCACAAAAATGCGTTTACATATAGCACATAACAGTACTAGTAGTACTCTAACCATAACTTGATATTGAAAATCGGCTGTCCTTTGAATATTTTCTAGTCGAATTTGATTCTGTTACTTTCGCATCTCATATGCGTACATTGACGACTATTTGGTAGGAAATCACTATAAAGAGAAATGACACAAGCGACGAATATGATATTTACAGGACTTTAAGACCACTCGACCAAGACGATCAATCGAAAGTGGTAAAGTAGCAACACAAGCTGGAACCCAGCATTCATACAATCGGTATCTCATATGTTATGTGCGAACAACCCAGTTGCAGGTTCCTTGTCTCAAGCATGCGAATTTAACTGTTATGCAGAAAAGACCATCCAATAAGATGGAATGAATATGGTGACATCTTCGGTAGATCAGACAGCTTGTCCTAACTAAATGCCTGAGAAACTGTGGTGTGTGAATGGACTAATGATTCCTTTCTAATTGTTGAATGCTTGATTTCGAATTCCTAATACGGCACATTCGTTTGTGCTTATCTAGTACTTCTTGATCCGATTGCGTTATTTCTGGGATTCTTAGTTCACACTATAATAATATATACTTCTGCATGAGCAGGTACACTCCATTTTTACAGGTATGATCTACAAATTACAGCATTTGTTGGTTCACAACATGCTTCCAACTTATTAAGTTTATAGTTTTTATAAAGTAGACTCGTAGTGTGCTTGCTGTAAACCGTGACCTTGAGGAGACGCGTAAGTCAAGTTTGTTCCGGACGTCAGAAGTTTCATAGCTGTACCCTCGGAGCAAGTTTTGAAGAAAAATAAAGAGAAACAGAAGAGCAGCAAGGCACTTGAATATGACCGCCAAACGCTGCTTTACATTGTGTAGTAGAACAGACAGAGGTATAAGAAATTAGAATAAATTCATATTATCTCTTGTTAGAGTGAAATGAGGTCAAAGGCTCCATATTAGAGAATGTAGCGATAAAGAACAATGAGTTGTGTCGTTTAACAAGTTGAAGTAAGCTCACACGAAGGAAGGGAAGTCAAGGTTGGTATAAGGAAAGCGGTTTATTAGAAGGGTGTGTATATAGAGGGTGAAGTGTTAAGAATACTAATGACTATATATTTTGCTGGCTAACTTTTTCTTCCTTTTTTGTCTATCCGATGCCAGCCACACAATCCTAGTGTAAAAGTCCGAGTTAGCATGTTATATGTTGTCTTAGTAGAATGGCTAATCCAGCATAATATTGGAAACATGAGTCTGAGTGGTGAGCGTAGGAAGACAATCTATATCACAGGTTGATTAACTTGTTCTCAATCATAAGGAGCCTGATACATACAAAATGTTCGGCTCCACAAACATAGGTGGATTGAAGTCATCGCCCTCACCATCAATGCTTGCTGGTCAGTAACTCCACCCTCCCTCATTTTGTACTGTTAGGCTCATTTAAGCTAATTTTTGGATATATGTCGTACCTCACGCAATCCTCTGTGTTTCACATCCTGTTGGAAAACACTATTTCTATAAGTACCATTTTACAAGCTTATCAGACAGTTACAGGTTATGGACTGTGGGTAAGGCATCGATGCAGTACTTCTGTTGACTATAGTATGAAGCATAGTTTGCCGATCAGAGTATAAGCATTAAGAAGGGTATAATTTAGGATAGTTGTTTATTAAAGCAGGCGGAAAAGTATAGAAGTATATGAGTTGTAGATAAGGTAACGAGTGGAGAAATAGTATTAATTGCTAGTCAACATAGTGTGCAGAAGAGTAAAAAGTTAATACAGGATAAACCGGAAGAAACTCACAGTAACTTGGTGTTGATGTTATTTTGTGTTGTCCTTGTTACGGGAGAACTGAAGACATTTGGCGGATTAAAACCTTTTATTGTACATTAATAATTTACTGTGCTTTTGGATGTAATTGTTTTACTTAACTTTTGAACTTGTTTGTTTATATCATTACTTCGGACGTTTTGGTTTGTCTTTGGTTTGGTATTTTGGTGCTCTCTTTGTCTTTGGTTTGGCATTTGGGAGTTTTGCTCCGGGAACCTACAAAATTGAAGAACGACATTCGGTCGATTACTTGTGAATTACGAATACATTTGGTATCTAAATTGGGACTTGGTTCTGTTGTTAATTTGGGTTCGTAATTTGCGAGTAGATCGATAGTCCGTACTTCAATAACTGGAACGAGCAAAACTTGGACGTAACATAAAGTTCTTCAATTATTGGTTCTGTGTTCATACCTTGGATTTTCTGGATATTTTGGGTCCAAATTCCTGGTCTTATTGGTCGATTTCGTTTGGATTAATTCGGATTTGTTTTGGTAATTGATTATTTGGAACAACAAATACGATGGAAACACGGAGCAAAAGGCTGAAGGAAAATGACGAAATGGATGGTAAAATTCCTAAAGCTGTTTGTGGTATGTCTGATGTTAATGATGATAAATGTGATGATGTTAGTCTTAATAGTATGTCCTCTAGCCAGCTAAGTACTTCTAGATTAAAATTAGATAAAGCATTACTGAGGAAAAGGAATTTAGAGAAGAGACTTGAATTAGAACGGCAACTTAAGATGTTAGATCTACAAGAAGAGGTTGATATCGCTGAACTAGAATGCAAGGCTATCGAGGACGATGAACGATTACCCGTAGATAAATGTGGGATAAATGCTAAAGTGGAAAATTATTTGGATTGTGATACTGGGTGTAATAATCACTCAGGGGAGGTATGTAACATCTCAAATGTCGATTGGGTTGGGGAGCTGAAGGACACGTTACATACAATGGTTAGTAACATGATTTTACCTAAGATCGATATGATGTACTTTGATGGGCAACCGGGTCAGTATTACCGTTTTATTAGTCAGTTTAATAGCCTTATAGAAAGTAAATTGTCAGATAAGGGCCAATTGTTGTCGTATTTGTTATATTATTGCAAGGGAAAGGCCAGAACAGCAATTGAATCTTGCGTTTCTTTGCCCAGTCACTTGGGCTATGATAGGGCTAAGCGAATTTAGTATGATTTATTTGGTAAAGAACATCTTGTTGCACGAGAACTAATTATTGAGTTATTAAACCATAAACCTGTCGGAGGATCAGCTGACGTATTAACTGACTTTGCGATTAAGTTGCGTAATGTATGTATAACGTTGAAGCAAATGGGATATATGTCTGACGTTAATTCTACGGCTAATTTGGAGGTAATAGTTTCACGCCTACCACTAGAATTGCAGAATAAGTGGGTGGAAGTCGCCGATAAGATCATGATGCATGGGAAGGAGCCGAGCTTTGAAGAATTTGTGGTCTTTGTAGAAGAGAGGGCCAGAATTGCCCGAACCCGTTATGGTAGATTAGTACAGTGTAACTCAAGGTTCGGTAAAAGGAATTCTGAAGGCCAAGCTGATAGATCACGCTTTCATGCAATTAGACGAGACCCAAATAACTCAGTCAAGGTATC